ATAAAGCAGACAGGTGTTTAACAAGTGAGGATATATTTTAAAGACTTACTTGTCCAAACTCACAACCCTGCAAATACAACTGGATATAGGATTCAAACTCCAACACTGTAATTGTACATGTCAAATTCTTTTCACAAATTTAGAGATGCTACATCATCTGCCAGAAACCTATTTTGATTTTACAACTGAAGTGGCAAGTTTGAAGTCTGCGATAAACTTTTAAAAACTGCATGTGTGCATATCAGCGTACAGGAGTGCAAACATGCAGGACATGGCACAAAACGTGGAGGTCTGAGCACTAGCTTGGATGCTGCTCCTCACTCTTCTACCTTGTTCAAGACAAGGCTTCTCCTGTTCACTGCTGCCTACACCAGGCTATCTGGTCTATCAGTTTCTGGTGATTCTATTTCTGCCTGCCATCTCCTGGTAGAGGTATTACAAATGGTTGTGTTACTGTGTCCAGCTTTTACATGGGTTCTATAACTCCAGTTATAAGGCTTACTAGGCAAGCAAACTCCCCCAGTCCTGTGATAAACTCTTAGACATAAGTTAGAGACTAGAACAAAATAAAAGAAGCAGGAACAACTATAAATGGAGATCTGTAAGCCAGACATAAATCACTGGTCAAATTTTTCTGATGATGAGTGTGGTAGTTTGAAAGAAAATGGCCTCCTCCAGGAGGTGTGGTTTTCTATTGGTGGAAATGTGTCACTGTGGGGGGCGGGCTTTGAGGCTTCCTATACTCAGGGTACCACACAGTATGACTGTCGGTTGACTTCCTATTGCCTTCTGGTCAAGATGTAGCCAGCACCATGTAGGCCTGCATGCTGTCATACTCCTCGTCATGAGATAATGGACTGAATCTACGAAACTGTAAGTGAGCTACCTCAATTAAACGTTTTGTTGTTGTTTTTTTTAAATATGAGCTGCTGTGGTCATAGTGTCTCTTCATAGCAATAGAAACCGTAACTAAGACAGTGAGTATGTAACAGGCTGAGACAGAATTTACTCGGTTTGAAAAGCAGGAAACAATGAGTAACAGCCTAGGAGTTCAAACAAAACAGTGCAAAAACTCTTCTATCAAAAAACAACCTAGAGGCCTCTTACATGCAAAGATGAGCCTTCTTAGGGATTGCCAAATTCCCAAATAAAATGGCATACCACTGTCATCTTTTAAATAAAATTATATTGCAGAAATCTTTTTAATGAATAGATTTATTCCTACTGCTTTTTTATTAAGACTATATTCATGTTTTTTTACCTAAATAATTATGTAACTTTTGTTTAAATAAAACATCTTAATAGTGTACTTCAGCCTATTATCTGACCAAAAAGCAGATTTTGGATCTGTCACTAATCTTTCAGTTTAACCCTCAAAGACACCTGACACGTCCTCACTATTAGGAGGGAAAGCACTTCTCTATTTTACACCTGTCCACTTTTTTTGTTTTTTGTTTTTTTTTTTGAGACAGGATTTCCCTGTAGCTTTGGAGCCTATCCTGGAAACTAGTTTTTTTGTTTTTTTTTTGTTTTTTTGTTTTGTGTGTGTGTGTGTGTGTGTGTGTGTGTGTGTGTTTTCCAAGACAAGGTTTCTCTGTAGCTTTGGTGCTTGTCCTAGAACTAGCTCTTGTAGACCAGTCTGGTCTTGAACTTCTGAGTGCTGGGATTAAAGGCATGTGCAAGGTGTGTGCCACCACTGCTCGGCTTATACCTGCCTACTTTTAAAAAATAGGTTTTAGCCGGGCGGTGGTGGCGCATGCCTTTAATCCCAGCACTCGGGAGGCAGAGGCAGGCGGATCTCTGTGAGTTCGAGACCAGCCTGGTCTACAAGAGCTAGTTCCAGGACAGGCTCCAAAACCACAGAGAAACCCTGTCTCGAAAAACCAAAAAAAAAAAAAAATAGGTTTTATCTTTATGTTTTTAATTTCTCCTCTGAACACTTAAAATGGGAATAAAAGTAACAACAGACTATCTCATGAACACTTGATGATGTGTCAAAAAGAATATTTGAGGACATATAACCCAGAACTGTTTAGTTAAAGAATCTTATTTTCAGGTGTATCTCTGTGAGTTCGAGGCCAGCCTGGACTACAGAGCAAGTTCCAGGACAGTCAGGGTGGTTACAGAGAGAAACCCTGTCTCAAACAAAACAAAACCAAACAACAAAAAAGATTCTTATTTCGTCAACTGTCCCAGTTATGTCCTTCATAGCAAAAGGAAGCAGACTAAGTATTCCTGTGACTTTATTCTCCTTCAGTGAGTTTTCTCTGCTTTGTCTCATGCTCCCTCAGTGATAGAATAAAATGACAAGTTCTCAGCAGAAATTTATTTTATGTTGTTTCTGATCTTTAGTATGCATTAAAAATAATTTTAATAAATAAAATTTGTATGCCATAGGTTTATACTTCTTTTTTTAAGATTAAAAAATGTGTCTACAATATGGGTATGTTCACATGAGTACAGGTATACACAGAAGCGAGGATATCAAGTCCCCTGGATCTGGAGTTATAGGCGGTGAGTACAGTTAGCCATTGAGCCATCTCTCCAGGCCATAGTGACCTTCTGTAAGTGCATAACTTAGTAAGTTTATAGAAAATACCATGATTACAATCCAAGTTTTGGAAATTTCGATCATGCCCAAAAAGTTTCCCCACATTCAATTAATAGCTGTCATTCACACCAATCAATCCTGCTTTCTGTTTCTCTAAAGCTGATTTTCCAAGATGTTTTATATAAACTGGAACCAGGCAGTAGCTGGCTTTTGTGTCTGGCTCCCTTTACTTAACATAATATTTCTGAAGTTTATCCATGTATCAATACGGTTTTTGAGACAAGGTCTCACTTTGTAGCCCAGGCTGGCCTAGAAGTCAATAGATAGCTTAGTCTGGCCCCTGGTCCACACAACCTTCTCTCAGCCCAGTTAATTCCATTTAGCTGATAAGCTGCATTTCAGTCTATGGACATATATTGTTTTGTTTACTTACTCATGAGCTGATGGGTATTCTGGTTGTTTCCACTTGGTTATTTGAAATACTCTACTGGAACATCTAAACATTCGACCTTGTGTACGCTTTCCCCTCTCGTTTGCTTTCTTTTTTCTGTTTCTCTTGTGTTGGCTGCTAGGGATAAGACTGCTGGCTCATATGGTAAATTTATGCTTAAATTTAGGGAAACGGTTGAACTCCACATTCCCAACAGCAGTTACATTTACCCAATGGGTGTGAAACAGTATCTCATTGTTTAGACTGCATTTTTCTAATGTTTATTGAAATGTCTATTCACTAAATCCTTTGTCTACTGTTACATTAAGTTTACTTATTACTGATTTTTAAGGTTTCTCTAAATGGGACTGACATAAGACATTTCCAGACACAATGAAATGCCATTTGCTACTGCCCTTATGTTCACCTCTATTCTGTTTGCCCTATTCTGTTGCAGTTCCTCTGAAATTCACCCCGTACTCTACTTCTCAGCCTCTTTATTTTTGTTGTTACTATAATCGATGATTAAGAATTGTGTGGTCAAACAAGCCCAGAAAGTAATTTTTATCAAAGAATTATTCCCTCTAAGACATCTCCAAGACCTCATGTGTCAATGAGCACGAAGAGCCTCTGCAAGTGCACTAATTCAAGCATTTCCCAAAGCTTGTCCTTTACATTTCTTTCTTTACAGGGTCCTCTAGAGCATATCAGAATGAATGGATATTGTGAGGCATGCGGATGAGAAATCTACACTATCTGACAAACTTTCTGCTCTTTAGTGTGTGTGTGTGTGTGTGTGGTGTGTGATGCAGTGCACGTATATGACTATGGAGGTACGTGGGTGCAGGGTATCAGGAATCTTCCTCTATTGCCCCCCTTACTGCTCTCACTGAACCAGAAGTTTGCTGTTTCAACGAGGCTGGCTGATCATTTAGATCCTCGGACTCCATCTGTCCACGACCTACCCTGTGCAAGGTAAGAATCTACTCCCTCTAGTTGTTCTGTGAACCCCCTACACAAACAAACAAATGTAAAAACAAATAAAACCCAGGGTGTTTTCCTTAAAAAAAAAAAAGCAATTTCTTAAGTAAGACATTATATTATAAATCTTTATGAATTTAAAGCTAAATTAAACCCTAGATGCTCAGAGCCAAGCTCATGAAACTGAATGCATATTAGTAAACTTGGGTGTAACCCTCTTCTGCCGGCTCTTACTGACTTTAGTCTTGTGATGTGCAAGACTGAGCAAGAATCTATATCATATGTGACTACAAGGACTGCCGCAAGCATCTATTTGTTTTTAAAATTTATTTTTATTTATGTGTATGTATGTGCATATACTGTGTGTACGCACACACACATCCACAGAAGACAAAAGAGGGCGTCAGATCCCTTGGAGCTGGAGTTACAGGCATTTGTGAGCCACCTGACACAGATGCCTGTAACCAAACTTAGGTCCTCTGCAAGAGAAGCAAATGCTCTTAAGAATCCACAGCAAAGTGGTGGGCATATATGTAAATTGCAACTATTGCTATACAAACAATTACCCTAAGTACTTCACACAAGAAATGAAACGGTATCTCACTGGCTGTATGTACTCATTGCTAAGGCAGCTTCAACACTTAATTCAAGACTTAATTCAACTTAATTCAACACTTAATGACACAGAAAGAATCCCTCCTGGACAGGTAACCCTTAAAAGCCCACAGTAGTCTGGGAGAAGGACCCCGTATCAAGCACAGGGTAACTGAAGTCATCACACAAAGAACAGAAGAGCAAAACTACTATGAGACCAGTCTGAGCCAGCCATTAGGAAGAATTACAGATGGTTTTAGACATTATTAAAGGAAAAAACAACCAAAGGGGAAAAAAGACATGCACCTCCACAAGTGACACTACCAAAAGTTAATATAATCATAGAATTACATTTAAGATTATGATTTCATCAAAGGTAGAAGAATGCCCAAAGCCATAATTTAAAAAAGAAAGACAAAATCTAAAGCCCCTTTTCCTGTTTACCTGGATGAGTCATGGTGACCGGCTCCTCTTTGGATTTATTATTATAGATGACTACAGCAACCGCATTGTGGAAAGCAGCCCGTGATATTTTCTCTTTAAAGGTGCAATTTCCTCTTTGTAGCAGGGCAATCCACTGTTTGATATTAGGAGGGACAAAGAATCGCGTTTGAGGATCACAGCCCAGATGATCAGCCACTAAATAACAAAAAGAAAAGTACGTGAAAGATGGAGTCAGTAAGTCTTTATTGGTGTCTTTCTGTCTTTCAAACACTGTGCAGATCCACAGCTCACCGCAGCAAGGCTGTATGTATTTCCATAAAGTACAGCACAATGAATCTAATCAATGTCTGTAGGAGAAAGAATGCTATTTGTACTACAAAGTAAAACAAAGGAAACTTCTTTCTTTCTTTTTTTAAACTTCACAGATAAAATAAAAAAAGCCAGTAAAAACCAGGGTAGGTAGTTGATAAGAGAGGAGAAAAGGCAAACCTAGAAACCCAGCCTAGCAGTCTTCCAATCCATCCATTTGCACTTACTACCTTCTAGACACACTGCTGCTCCTATCACCACCACGAAGAAACAGGAATTTTGCCTGGGGGTAAGTGAGGCGGCCAAAGTAATCTTTAATTCAGCTACCAAGTGATCATGTTGAAATGCAAGCATGGCAAACTTTTTAATAGATGTCAAAGGAAATCATAAAATTTAAATTTGGGCCTATATTTAAAAGTGAAAAATGATATGAAGAAAAAACATCATTCCTCTACTTTACATTTACTGGAAAAGTAACTCTACAAATCTGCAGAGACTTTGTTCGAAATACTTACAAACACATTTCCATTGGTCAAACTAAGTTCTTCCATCTTTCCTCCCACACATGACAATTTCTGCAAATCCACAAAGAAGCCCCTGCTTCCCCTGCCCATTTAGAACGAGTCAAAATGAGAGAAAAAGGTGGTCTACAGGGAGAAAGAAGCCACGAAAGGCAGGGCTAGAGACTATCAGTCAGCAGGCAGGGGCAGGGATGGGGAGGAAGAGGACCTTCTGCCTCCTGTAGCCGGTCACTATCAGTCCAGTGTGCACTATGGAGAACAGAAGGAGATCTCAGCACACTGGCCCCAAAGGGTAACCTCAGAGGCAAACAAATCATACCTAAGTAATAGGTGCTAATAATAAAGGATAATTATGATTTATAAAGAATATTAGTAGGAAAATGTTTGTTTTCTGTAAGCATGCTGCAAAGCAAAAGAAACCAGATGCTTATAGTATTTGTCAATTAAAATAAAGATGTTGTCGCACAGTGGTGGCACACGCCTTTAATCCCAGCACTCAGGAGGCAGAGGCAGGCGGATCTCTGTGAATTTGAGGCCAGCGTGGTCTACAGAGTGAGTTCCAGGATAGCCAAGGCTACACAGAGAAATCCTGTCTCAACCATACCCCCCAAAAAAGTAAAGATGTTACTGATATGAAAAGTCACACCTAACCGTTCCCACGTAAATTTTATTCATTAAGTTTTCTTATGAAGGAGGAGGGAGGCAGGGAGGTGACACAATAAGAACATTTTCTATGAAAGGACTTTAGAAACACAGGAAGTAGGAGGTGTATCAATTCTACAATGTATCATGATAGGTACCTGCTACTCGCCTACATCCGTAATACAGTAATCCTTCATTAATGAGAGAAAGGGTGGCATGTGTGAGCATGTGGAAAGGATAACAGAGTAAGTGTAAATTGCTGGAGATGAGTAACACATATAAAGCCCTGGCTTTGACTCCCAGCATCAGAGAAAACTTAAACTGAAAAAAAAGTTTGTCACACGATTTTCCTCAAATACTGAGAGGCACAATCATCACATTATGAAACTTTAAAATTCTGAAGCAGATTGTTTACCTCCAGCAGTATCTATTACACAGATAATTATGCTGTTTTAAAAGGAGCATTGAAAAGATGTTTTATGATAACCTCTTAAGTCTCAGGAAATTGTCCAACCATATCCAAATGGAGCAACCAAAAAACGGTTTTTAGTGTTTTGTTATTTTTCAAAGTGGACTGCTATATAGAAGCCCTGGTAGAAAATGCAGATTATGGAATACTCCAAGGTATCTGCACGTTTGTCTTATACGAAACTTCCATTTTCTGTGATGTCCTTTCTCCCTGTGGCTCACGCACTTTTACAATGCAGTCAAGAGGAAACTGTGTAATATGGAATCAGCAACACAAGGGCTACAAGTCTAAACCAACTACTTACTAGCTGAGCAACTGTGATGGGTTTCTTAACCTCTCTGATTTTAAACTTCTACTTATTACAAAACTGGGCTTACTGGAGATGACAGGGGATTGCACCAAGGAACTCACTTAGACTATGCACGCATTCTATCACTGAGTTACACCCTGAGCCTGATACTGTCATCTCAAAGTTACATATGTGAAGAAGTTAGCAATAATCTTTTTATTATAGACTGCCTAAAAATGACTTGTTTTCTTTTCCTCAGTATCCCCCCCCCCCCATCTTGTCCTAGCAATCCAGTTTGGTTCCCTGGGGATGTCTGAAGCCATTGTACGGGAAATCCCACTGTCTGCAACATGTTCCATGTTTCTTGGCTCCTAAGTGCTGGCTCTCTCCTTCTGACAGTTCAGTCTACTGAGAGCATCCCCAGTGTTCTCAGGCTGCAAAGGGACAGCAAAAAGTGTACCATGAAAAATCCATTAATCTACAGAAGAAAACTTTGACATTCTAAAGGAATCCCTACCCACTAAGAATAGATTCTAGAACAACTGCTAGATCCAAACGAATTCTAACAACAAACTGTATATCCAAAACAATATTCCTACTCCATAAAATTCACCCAAAAAGGCTCCAAAAGCAAAACATCAGTAAGAATGCAATGTGTACAAGAAGGAGACATTGGGTTCCTGTTTCAGGAAGCAGTATTTATTATTCAAGAGAAGAAAATGAGGTTTTTACAACCACTTAATACTGCAGTACATGTATTCTATCTCAATATTCCTTCTAATTATAAAATAAATGAACAATGAAATAGTATTAATAGTTCTGAAACAGCTGCCCATTGTGATTAAGTGGTACTACTGCAAATTTAATGCCATTTGTATTTGAACAATTTATTTTGTGAAAACACTGAAACATAGAAGATCTATGCAATTCTGGACTATTAAATTGCATCATTAGCAATCCTGTTCAAATTCAGAACCACTTTACTTCATAGTCTTCAAATTTCTTAAGATGGTATTGCCTTTGACTTTGCATTCATTAGTTACAGAGCTGAAAAAAAACAAACCATAATGAAAATCTGAAATTACAGATCGTGTAAAATTATTACACTAAGAAAAACTTGAGGCCTGAGAATAGTGCAGCAGTAAAGTGCACGCCTAGTTTATATGAGCCCCTGGGGGTAAAACTCCAGCACCACCAAAAGATAGTTAAAAAAAAAAAACCCAAAACTCTTAAATTTTGTTTCCTAAATAGACTTTCCTGCTGAACACAGAAACAATGAGGCTTTTATTTACTTCTTGATAGGACCCAAACAAGCACAGGTTTCTCACATCAATGAATTTTTTTTTTTTTTTAATTTTCGAGACAGGGTTTCTCTGTAGTTTTTGGTGCCTGTCCTGGAAATAGCACTTGTAGACCAGGCTGGCCTCGTACTCAAAGAGATCCGCCTGCCTCTGCCTTCCGAGTGCTGGGATTAAAGGCGTGTGCCACCACCACCCGGCCAGCCTCAATGAATTTTTTATGCATATGTGCATGCATGTGCATTTGCAGGCCAGAAGACAACCTCAGGTGTTATCCTGAGGAATATCTTTCATCTTTGACACAGGATCTCTGGTCTGGGCTCATCAATTAGGCTAGATGAGTTTGGTAAAGTTCCAAAGATTTTCCTGAGTCCATCTCTCCAGTTCTGGGATTACAAACATACCCGAACATGACTGGTATTTCTTAAGTGAGTTCTGGGGACCCAATTCAGGTCCTATTGCCTTGCAAGCACTTTACCAACCACCTTCCAAGCCTAGTAAGTATTTTTTTTTAGCTTATGTGCTCAGAAGCAAACTAAGTATCAAGGAAAACTAAAATGGGCTAAACACTGAGGTGGTATGACTGACCCAATATCAACACCATATGAGTAAACACCAGAAAGAGTGTTTAGAATGGCAGGAAAGGAAAAGAACACATGGTGGAGGGTCAGGGAAGCTAAACAGAACCACTGAAAAGTTGCCCAAGCAGAAAGGATGGAGCACGGAAATGACTAAAATACAGGTCGGGGCTGGGAATGGAGTTCCGCTGAAGAATGCTTGTCTCGTATGCATGAGGTCTTGGGGTTGATCCCTAGTAGTGAAACAACGACAAACACAGTGAACCTTAAATCCACCAGACACACAGAAGCACACGTGTGTGTGTGTGTGTGTGTGTAAGCATCTTGAACTTGTGTGAGACTCAGGAAAGATGGATACATAGCAGAAGCTGTAATACAAATTTAAGATTGCAGAGTTCAAGAAAGACCCTATTTGGAATGGGAGAATGAAAATGTTCCACTATGCAGAAAATGTAAATATTTAGGGATTTTACTTTATTTTTATTATTTGTGGAGCTGGAGATCCACACCAGGAATGCCAGTCCTTCTAGCCCTTGAAATGCAAATATTTAAAAGGCTGTGGGCCAGTGAGGTAGTTCAGCTGGTACAGGCACTTGTTGTTAAGCCTGATGCCCTGAGTTCGATCCCTAGAACCTATATGGTAAAAGAAGAGAATCAACTTCCACAAGCTGTCCTGATTCCCACAGCATACCATGCCACACACCAGTTCAATACCTAGCTACAAACACAAGCTAAATAAATTATTAAATAAACAAATGTAAAAAATTAAAGTTATTTATATGAACTAACAGATAAAATCTATTCTCCCATTGTAATAGTCCAAAACTTGGCACATGATTAATTTAACAGGATTTCACCTCTTAAGAATCAAATTCCTCACATATGGAACAATCAACTTGCTCTGTGTGTGTTAACGGTTTCTTCCCAAGCCCCAAGAACCATCAATTTGCTGCAAAACTCTTGGGGTGAGAGTGATACAAAATCAAGAAGCCAGCAAAGCACTTTTCTGCATGTGTAGCTGAGACAGGTTATAGTCTGCTCTAGGCTCACAGGGCCCCTTGCTCTCAGAACCTATGTATCTTATTTCCC